CTATCCTCTCCAGAATCTGTTCTACTGAGTGACAGTTCTGGGGCAGAATCTGTCTGAGGTGAACTTACTCCTTGCCAAAATAATGCGAAGGGAAAGAGGAAGATTTGAAACCGTGTAAGTAGAATGGCGGGTCCTAGCCGTGAAGGTCTGAACTGGCAGAAATAAACAATTAGCTCGTTTGAACATTTGCCTTAATAATAGCGATAGAGTAGGGAAGAGGTTAAAAAATTTTTGCCTGTGGGAACAGGGTTGAACTCTGTTACGGCTGGACAGCGAGGAGAGAGCGACACCAACGCAGATGTAACAGCAATACTCCTCTCTTGAACTGACTCTTGTAAAGATAATGCATAGGTGTTAGGTATTTTCTGCAGTGATACAAGGGATCTACCATTCTTCCAGCATCTTTAGTGATGTCAGGAATATACGCGTTCCATTTGAGGTCTGGAGTGAGTGCTATGAAACGCCATAGGTAAAATGGACAAGTGAGATTTTCTGAAATTAACTGTCGGCTAAAACTAAAAGGTTGTGTTGTCTTGATCTTATTCCAAATCTTATACTAGTTTAAAAAGACATATGCGTTTTCCACGGCAAAAGTATTCTATGGCAATGTGTATCCAGGGTTAACACCGAATCTGCATGACGCATTTACCTATTTTTTGCCAATAAATATGCTGGTCTAGAGACATTTGAGTGTTCATGAAAGATTTTTAGAAATTGATCAAGTCATGCTCCAAATGGAAGAGATTTATTTGTCGGTTTAAGGCAATATCAACTCCTTATGACTCATTTAATGCCGAAATTGAATACATGGTATATGATACTCAGCTTTTGCGTATATACATGTTTGTGTGGACATAATTACTAGAGGCGGTGATATGTGTGTTTTATGTTGTAATTTTGTTGAAGTTATATTTTGGAATACAGTTTGATTTAAGAAAGTGTTTGATATTGTATGGATTAATGTCATGAAAGTTTTTTCATATTGTTTTTTTGGTAGTATAGTGTTTTTGCTACTATTTGTTAGTATGTGCTTATTGTTGGTTATTTTACTAGAAATATGTATCGTTGGCAGTTATATATATATAACACTCAAGAGAGAGGGTCGAATCAAGCCGAGCTTCTCGGCTTGACGGTCGAACTCTCTGCCTCTGAGCAGAGAGGAACCCGGACGAGACTCCTCCGAAGGGCAGAGTCTCGTTCGGGGAGGTTGACCAACCTGATCTCGTTTATACGGGTTCTACGGGCATTTTTGGCCGAGCCTACGGGCTCGAGAAACCCACGTTAAACTCGGCCTTGTGCCACATTCAACCCTCGTGGGGGGGGGGGCTAGATACCGAATCGAGTCGAGCCGTTTCGGCTTGACGGTCGAACTTTCTGTCGAAGTGCAGAACCTCGTTCGGGGTGGTTGACCAACCCGATTCTGTTTTTACAATTTCAACGGGCTCTCGTGGGGTGGGGAGTAAATATCGAATTTCTCTCGTGGGGTGGGGAGTAAATATCGAATCGAGTCGAGCTTCTCGGCTTGACGGTCGGACTCTCTGCCTCTGAGCAGAGAGAAACCCGTTCGAGCCGATAGTAGTTCACTTCAAACCAGACCGACAGTCATACTAACACCTTCCGCATCTTGTATTATTATTTCGTGTAATATACCTTCGTTATTTCTACTCTTGTGTTCGTGTTGTTCTTCCTTGGTCCTAACCTGGACCATAACACCACCTCAATGGGTTATTTAATGCCAACAAAATTTTCATTGTTGGTAATTCAAAAATATATTGCTGGTAATATTTTTTTTCCTTCAAAAATGTATTTTTGGCAATATTTTTTTCTTCAAAAATCTATATCTGGTAATATTTTTCTCCAAAAATGTATTGCTGCTAATATTTTTCAAAAAAACGTATAGCTGGTAATATTTTTTTAAATCTATTGCTGGTAATAATGTATTTCTGGTATTCATTTTCATAGCGTTTTGACCCCAGTTTGGAGAGTTAATTATTTACCCATAGCTGGGACCCTAACAGGTGCTACCACTCCGAACCTGGGAACATCATTTTCCACGCTCCTCAAAACCTTCTGATCAGAGGCCTTGCTGTTGGACATAGTTTATCGTCTTACCCAGGACGCGGGTGTAGTTTATCGTTATACCCAAGACGTCGGAGAGAATGAATATTTTTTTCAACATATTCTCGCTACTTCTCAAACGCACTTAATCAGGTTCTTCTTAATAACTGAACATTATACAGTGAAAGTTTTAGATCAAACATCAACAGTATAAGGCGACCGACTAATTTACCGTAGCATGGCTAAGGTGTATCAAAATTACTTTTACAAACATTGGGGTCGGATTCGTCAGACTAAAACAAGGACAAAATTCCACATAAACATGTGTCTACAAATCATTAGTTTTTGAGTTATTAAGTTTAAAGTTTACGGTAGACGCTGTTAAATGTACATTCCAAGATACAATCCAAAAATACTTTTACAAACTTTTAAAACAAGGTAAAATGTCCATATAAGCATATTTCCAAAAGGCTATCGTTGGACCTCAACAACTCATTACAAATGTTCAAAATGTCTTCCGCTTGCTTCTACATACGCATACACCCGTCGGATCATTGACTGGTGGGCCTTTTCAAATACTCCCACACGGTGTCAAATAGTTTCGCAGGCCCCCATGACACACTGATGAAGCGTCTCTGCATTATTAATGTCTGCGGCATAAACTAATGTTTTTAAGTTGCCGCACAGATAAAAATCCAAAGGACTGAGGTCGGGAGAACATGCAAGCCATGAAAACGGACCTCCCCTACCTATACAACTTTCATGATAGATATCAACTAGAGCATCGCAATCAATGTAACTAAAATATGATGGAGTCCCATCATGCATAAACGACATGCGTCTTTGTATTAGCAGGCGTACATCCTCTAGCAGGTCTGGAAGTGTGTTCAAAATAAAGTCCCTGGGGAAATATATAGACCTACCAGACAGTTACCTATAATTACAGTCCTCACATTATTAGTAAATTGATGCTGGTGTCGAGCGTGGATTGCACATTGGGATTCCGATCCACCCACAAATGTTGGTTGTGTAAATTTGTTATTCCATCTCTTCCAAATGTTGCTTCATCCGTAAACAAGACTAAAGAGACGAACAACTGATGGGCAGTTTGTGCAATAAACCATCGGCAAAAGTTATCTCGTGGTGAGTGATCAGAGGGCGAAAGACCCTGCACATGTTACAAATGATACGGATACAGGAGCTATTCTTGAAGTACCCTCCATGCGGTACTATAAGATGTACGACATGCTAGGGTCACTTGACCTGGACCGTCTCCGACAGCCTGTAGAATGTGTTCTTCGTGATCAGGCGTACGAGAAGTTCACGGTCTTCTTCGAGCCATAGTTTGTGGTACCGCAGATCCTGTCTCAGCAACGCGACGATAAACAGCAGCAAAGGTCGGATGACTCGGCTGTCTTCGTTCTAGAAACGCAAATGCAGCCTCGCGTCCATTATCATTTGCGCGGCTGTATCTAAAAGTCATATCTGCCTGCTCACGATATGAATATCCTGCCATTGCTAAACGGAACATTTCCCAGTTAACTTACTACTACACACGTTAAACGTTGAAAATGAACTAGCCACAAATATACACGAATGACAAATGTAACCTAGTCAATATGGCAACAGAGCGCCATCTACCGTAAAAACGAAGAATTGGCGGACATATGTTTATATGGACTTTTTGTCCTAGATTTTTTGTGTTAGCAACCCAACAAATTTTGTAAAATTATTTTTGATACACGCTGTATATATGTACTTATATATATAAATTATATATATATATATATATATATATATATATATATAATTATAATATAGTTAGTATATATATGCATGTGTGTGTGATACTTCATAATATATGCGCATCTCTATCTTACTCTCTTTACACACACAGACATACAGACACACACACACATATATATATATATATATATATATATATATATATATATATATATATATATATAAGAATTCTGTGAATTCAGGATGTGGCTCTTTGAAATAAAACATTATTTTTCGGGGTGTCAGTGAATGTATTGAAGCGGATAATTAATTCATACCTATGTAATGCATGTATGTATGTGTATAAACATGCCACTGTGTGTATGTTCGTGAATGTGTATCCGTGTGTGTGCATCCGTGCGTGTATGTGTCTGCGTGTGTCTATGTGTGTGCTCATAATCCAAATCTTCAAACTTCTCTGCAATAAAATAGCTTCCAGGTTTATTTGAAATATATTAAAGAAAGAAGTCAATTCAAGACGGAAATTTTCAAGTCTACATTTACGTTTGTTTGTTTTTTTTCTAGTTTGTCTTCGTTTCGCTTCCTCTTCTCTCTGCCTGCAAATGCCTTCGATTCATGTCGTTGCTTCTAATTTATTTATGCATTTAATTTCGTCAGAATTAATAGAGAAAGGATGCTTGTTTGAATTCTTCACTAAATAGCTCTACAATCTACAATTTCATCTTTTAAATGAAAATACCACGAAACGTTCAATAAACTTTTAGATAAGGTAGGAAAGCAAAAAGAAAGAACTATTAACCATAAGAAGACAGAATACGTGACAGTCAATAAAGAAAACATCTCAAGGTGAGAGCTATATATTCACGCCTTATATATCACCTGTACATTTAGATAGCCTTTTGTATATAAATAAACGCTTATATTGTTTACAATATTAATTTCCACGTCTTTGTTGTTACCTTCGAAACGTTTCGGTCGTTGTACCCACCAGCCTTCTTCAGGTGTCTGTTGATACAGGTAACTTTCAGGGAAATTTCGAATCGAAACCTTTATTTTATCTGCGAAGGTAGATTCTTCTCGTATCCCGTCCTGTTCTTCGTCAGTCAACTGAACTTGGAAAAAAAAAATTGGGACTCCACCCTCCGATTTCTTTCCAATTCCGAGCCATTATCCATTACACCACCCGCACATCCAAGCTTACAGCACCTGGTATTCCAAATCGGTCACCCATCTAGGTACTGACCAGGCTCGACGTTGCTTAACCTCAATGATCGCACGAGAACCGGTGCTTCAAAGTGTAATGGCGACCGAAAGATGAAAATATAAGCAGAAAAAGAAGATGAAAATAAGATAAAGCTATATATAACTTCAACAAAATTACAACATAAAACACACATATCACCGCCTCTAGTAATTATGTCCACACAAACATGTATATGCACAAAAGCTGAGTATCATCTACCATGTATTCAATAGTGAAAGCAGAATAACATATATTTTTATTACTTTCAAGCTCCGAAAAAAAAATGAAATTTCGGCATTAAATGAGTCACAAGGAATTGATATTCCGTTAAACAGACAAATAAATCTCTTCCATTTGGAGCATGACTTGATCACTCTTTAAAAATCTTTCATGAACACTCAAATGTCTCTAGACCAGCATATTTATTGGCAAAAAATAGGTAAATGCGTCATGCAGATTCGATATTAACCCTGGATACACCTTGCCATAGAATACTTTTGCCGTGGAAAACGCATATGTCTTTTTAAACTAGCACTAGATAAAGCAAAACAAATAAAAGGTAAAAAGAAGAAATTCAATGATCGAAGAAAAATAAGGACTGCTTAGCCCTTTGACCCCTGCGTTCCTGAACAATTTTAACCCTTCTGCCTGAGCTCCTGAGTCAAAATTCGCAAATAATTAATATGTAATGTTTCACGGTAGATATAAAAATAGTTATAAAAAATCTAAGCATTATACTTAACAGGGAAAAAGTATGATTGCAGGCCTTCATTTTATCGCCAGAATTCTTTCTTTGTGTGCCAGTCTATCCAGCATTGTGCTGCCTCTCTTTATACACAAGAATAGCAAAACACGACGCAAGTGTTTACCCACCGTTCAACCGGTGGCTGGGAAGTAAGTTATTTTTCTCCACCACCGGTAAAGCGGTGGTCAGTGCTCAAAGGGTTAATAGAAAATTAAGTGGGTGGGGGAAATAGGAGACAGAATTTTGAAGAAGAAAAATGATCAGAAGTAAAAGTAAAACAACAAATAATGGTAAAAAGAGGAGAGGATAAGAAGAGAAAAGAGGCAGAAAAATATGTAAAAAGAACAAAAGGAGAAGAAAATGAAGAAAAGAGGAAGAAGAAGAAGAGAAGACTAGACGAAAAAGAAAATAAATAAGAATAAATTAGAGAAAGAGGAGATAAAAAGAAATAGAGAAGGTAAGAAAAAATGAAGACAAAGATGAGAAGGAAAAGGCGAAACGTAGAAAATGAAATGAAAAAAGAAGCAACGTAAAAAAAGGAAAAAAATATAGCAAAAAAGAAGAAAAGGAATATAAGAAAAAAAGAAGAAAAGGAAAACGACCAGAAAAGAAAAAAAGAAGGAAAAAATAGTAAAAAAAAAAATGAGAAAAATGTGAAAATAAGAAAAAAGAGAAAAATGAAAGTATATAAAAGAAGAAAAAGAAGAGCGAAGAACAAATAAAAAAAAGAAGATAAGAAAAAAATAACATGAAATAGAACACGAACAGAGAAAATGAGAAAAACATAGGAACGAGTAAAAAACAAAACAAGCAGAAAAGATGGCGACGACGAAGGAGAAAAATAAAAGAATTAGATCGAGAAAGAAAGGAAAAAGGAGAAAAAGATCATTAGCGAAAAAAGAAAAGAAAATGAGAAAATAAAAAGAGCAAGATTAAAAGGAAGAAACGTGAAAAGAACAAGATGAAAAAAAAATGAAGGAAAAACGAGGAAGACGAAAAAGAAGTACAAGACGAAGAGGGAGACAAGGAAGAAGAGTAGAAGAAATACAAGAGAAAAGGAAAAAGAAAGTAAGAAAAACAAAGGAAAAAGAAAGTAAGAAAAACAAAGGTGAACGTAATTAAAAAAGAACTAGAAAATAAAGGAAAGAAATTCAAGAAATAAAGAAACAAACAAACAAACAAAAGTTTACCAAGAAGAAAAGATAAAGAAGGAAAACTGGAACAAGAATCAAATAAGAAAGAAACGGTGAATACTAAAAAGAAGAAAAAACAGAAGAAACCTATAAACGAAAAGAAAAAGGAAAAAGAGAACAAGGAAAAGAAGAAGAAAAATTAAAAAGGCGATTTAAAAGAAAACAAAGAAGAATTAAAAAAAACTTTCAAGCTTTTAAATTCATTAATGAGAAAAGAAGAAAGGAAAAGAAAAAAACTTGCTACAGCGAACAGGTGAAAATGAGTTCGCATCGAGTGCATAATGATCGAACGGCCTCCGGAAGTGTTTTCCCGCTACGGATGTACAATAGACATGGCCACAGCGTTGGACTAAGTGCATATCAACACACACGTCCATCGTTTCGAGTCAACACTGGACTTTTTATTCTAAGGTCAAGATAGCCGTGGACAACAAATACGAAACAGCAAACATTTTGGGTTCAAATTCGATTTCGGAAATCAACGAGGTCACGCACTTACAGTCAGGGCTCAAAGGTATGGCAAGTAGACTGATGACCGTGCGGTTGGAGGTTTCATAACAGGTACAGAATTTACTGTGCCACTAGCCCCAACTTCAAAATCTTACGACAACGACAAAGCGAAAAGCAATTTTATTCATAGTTATTCATGTATAAGTCATTTTATTATATTAAATATAAATGATATACTATACATTTGTACATAGTGTCTTTCGTATATTTCCGAAACATATTCTGCTTGATTTTAGAAGTATGGGTATTTTCATGTGAACATTTCGATATTGATTGATTTGATTCGGTTTGGTTATTTACGGCTGGATATATCTATCTCATTCTGTTCATATCTATCTATCTATCTATCTATCTATCTATCTATCTATCTATCTATCTATCTATTAAAGTGTCCCCTATTCAGTTATGTGTTTAATAAATGGAGTTGTAAAATAAAATCCTTGTTATTTTAAAAAAAAACAAATTGTTAATGCAATCTTCCCTCTTCAAAATGAATTGATCTTATAATCCAAAAATATGGGAATGAGCTTCAGATAGATAGATAGATAGATAGATAGAATGAATAGATAGATAGATATGAACAAGATGAGATAGATAGATAGATAGATAGATAGATAGATAGATAGATAGATAACAAGATGAGATAGATGAATAAGATAGATAGATAGATAGATAGATAGATAGATAATGAACAAGATGAGATAGATAGATAGATATGAACAAGATGAGATAGATAGATAGATATGACAAGATGAGATGATAGATAGATAGATGAGATAGATAGATGGATAGATAGATAGATGAACAAGATGAGATAGATAGATAGATATGAACAGAGATGAGATAGATGATAGATAGATAGATAGATGGATAGATAGATAGATGAATAGATAGATAGATGAATGATAGATAGATATGAACAGAATGAGATAGATAGATTTAGCACAGAATAAGTTAAAAAGAAGAAGGCAAGAAAAATAGAAGAAATACAAGTGAAAGGAAAAAGAATGAAAAAGAAACAAAAACAAACGCTTAGCATGAAGAAAAAAAGAAATAAAAATAACGAAGAAGTAGAGAAAGAAAATTTGAAGAAGAAAAAGAAAAGATAACGAAGGAAAATTGGAATAAAGAATCAAGTAGGAAGGAAACCAAAAAGATGAAGAACAAGAAGAATCGTATAAACGAAAAAAAAAAAGAAATTGGAAAAAGCGAACAAGAAGAATGAAATGAAGAAAAATAATAAAAAAAAAAAAGTTTAAAAGAATACAAAGAACTGAAAAGAAAAGTTCAATTGAAACAGAAAGTCTGCATTACGCTAATAGAGGACTAACATTCAAAATCTTAAATTTTACGAAGATTTTACCAATCGACTTCTGACGCCATTGTGAAAATATAACAATCTCAACTCCGATATAAGATTGATAGATTTAACTTAGCAAAAAAAAAGCAGGTCAAATAAGGAAAAATGGAGAAAGAAAAATTGTGTTACTACAATCTCTCAAATTTAAAGAGCTTTCTTGACTTCAGAATCAACATTCGAAATTATAGCTTTTGCCGTCTCTTGGCTATCGACGTTTGATACCAATGTGATGATATAATTATCGTCGTAGATAGATATGAACTATGAAAAAAAAGAAAACAACTGGTACAAACATAAAGTGCTCGCTGCAGTGCCTGTTTCTCCGGCAATATGGCATTTTTGCCGGATATATGTAGAGACGATTTCTACCTCACATCAAGTATTTCACTTTCAGTTAATAAGCGCATTTTCGACCAAACGGGGTCAAAACCTACGACCATAAAATGCTTATCTCTACAGGAGACTCTTATAATAACATCAGAGAGAATGCATATCGCACCTTTTTATTTATTTGCCTTACAAAACCATCACTTTAGGCAAAACAAAAGAAAAAATGTACTACTTACAAAGGTTCCGATTCCCGGAAAATGAACCAATGGAAAACAAGCGAGCGGTATTAGAACTAAATGATTGCATCACTAATGGCAGAGTTGAAATTATAACGAAAACTAAACAGGAAAAAAAGGAGGAGGATAATTTTCGTTAGAAACAAAGAAAATAGTGCTGAACTGCTATTAATCCTTTCATATGACGGTGTATGTTGAATGATTTCCTCACAGATGAAGAGAAAACTTGAGGCAACAGTTCTACAGAAGGATGACGAGAATGCCATGGATGGAGCGTGTAAGCAACGAAGAAGTTTTAAAGAGCAGGAGAGGAGAAATAAAGACATATTGCCAAGAGAAACAAGGAATAGGAAGTTGTGGAAAGCCATGATCGCTAATATGCTGAAGGGAAACAGCACATAGAAGAAACTTTCTGACTTCTTACCACGTGGTTTTTACAGTCCGTCTTTTTCTTTTCTGAACTTTCGTCAAACATGCACAAACACACAATTACACATAAAGCAGATACAAAGACAATTGCATATACATGCACAAAAGCACGTTAACAGATACACTCATTGACTTGACGCGTACACACTGCGCTGTGAGACGCACACCCTTACATGCTCATATAATGGTCGGTTACCCGTTTCCAAGCTCAACCACCCGCTAACACCGGTTGGCCAAGCCGTTTTTTTTTCGACGTCTGCTTATGTACAGTTGTGTTTCTTTAACACCCACAGAGCCCACTTGTAGTTTACACTGCAGGTGTGCGAGCGGACCTCAATTGCAGTATAATCTGACATAACCAACAGTTTTAATAAGGCAAGTACACTCAAACCCTCAGTCACGATGGCTTGTGTCTAGCATAACCATCGACGGCTTCTGAACAGTCACCTTATTAAAGTCTTCTCATTATTTTCCACTCCCAGTAACTAGTTGCGTCTTAGTAACACTATCGTCTTACTTGGAGCGAAATGATACAATAAAAAGGGTTAATTCAGGACATGGGTCACCACAAGAATCCATAACTTTCAGTAACTCAAAAGGCTTGAGGCCAACACGTGGTATGGTTTTCAGGAACTTTCTCCCTTCTGGCAAAATCTACCATAGTGAGATTTGAACGCAAATCTCCTGGACAGAAAGCAAAAATTCTAACCAGTTACCCAATACACACATATACATATTTACAAGGTACTGTCTAAAACGTTTGAGGAATTTGACCATGAAAAATATTACTCCTTTGAATTTTAACATCCAAAAAAAGATGACTGAAATTATGTATTAATATACAACTCACAAAAAGTAGCAGCAAAATTCCATACTACTATCAACTCTCGCGCTGTTCAAATCCCTTGAAGTTTGGATTAGTACCGCACACACACACATACATACATACATATATATATATATATATATATATATATATATATATATATATATATATATATATATATATATCAGTCGATATCTATCTAGGTCAGTATCGATATTCTCGATATAAATCAGATCTTTTAATTCCATAATGTTTATAATTGTTTGTTTGAAGCAAGAAATATTGCTGGTTTGGATATGTGAACCGCTTACTGCGATTTCAGAGCGATATTTATAGAAAGTAAAAGGATTGCTTGACCAAACGGTTCGCACCGCAGCCAAAGGAACATGGGGGGGACGTAATCCCTAAGAGATGCAATCGTTCGATGGCAGGAAAAGGCTATCAGATAAGAACTAATTGAAAGAGCCTCCATCAGTGCCGTAACAGCCATTTAAGACAAGCTTGAAAATCTCTGTCAAAAGCCAATCAAGAATTTTTCGCTCGATCAGAGAGCACTAGAGAGATCGCTTATCGAGAATTACGAGGGTTGATAGGGATTATCAGGCCAAATGGATTTTAAATGCACCGAGTGCTTTTAATATTTTGTTCAGGGGGAAATCAGTGAAAGAAAGAAAGAAAGAAATAAAGAAAGAAAGAAAGAAAGGGATGTAGTGAGTGACTAAGTGAGAAAAGAAAGAATGAGAAATTAAAAGAAAGAAAAGGAAACAAACGAGAAAATGAAAAGATGCATTGATTGCAAAGAAAGAAAGAAAGAAAGAAAGAAAGAAAGAAAGAAAGAAAGAAAGAAAGAAGGAAAGAAAGAAAGA